AAAATTTGGCGGATACGACTTCCCCTTATATTTTTTTCGAAAAAGTTCAGTGAATATGAAACTTGTGTTTGCTTCTTCTACGTGTTAATACGGGCGCCGCGACAAACAAACCAGAACAATCTGCTGTTTGAAAGGAAGTGATGTTAAAGCGATCAAGCATGTTATAATGTGGAAGTACTGCAAAAACAGTGCTGGAAGAAGTGACCGGTTTTTGCTTGAGGAAAATGAAGAAGAACTGTTTCACAAAACAGTAATCGCCGCATATGGATACAAAGATGCTGTGAAACTGAGATGCGCTGGAAAAATGCTTTCTTCTGTTATTATGGAGAAGGCCAAATCTTGAGCAGCCCAGGTTGATCCCTATGCTCCGGCTGATACCTTTCCTGGAATATTGATCAGCATTTTGCTCTGAGCCACTCTCGGATTCACATAGTTCAGTCAAGAGTACGCGGCTGGTTGTAATGGGACAAACGAATTAATATAAGTTCGGCTGCTCTTTGAAATTCCAAACAGCAGCGACAAATGTGGATGGAATGTCCCATCCACATTTTCCAAAAAATCCATGATTATCACATTTTTTAACTGCTGTTTTGGCTGTGCCTCCTTGTTGACTCAAGCCCAATTTGTGCATTTTGACGATTTGCTGTTATGCTTTTTGTGCCAATAAAGTGATTTAGAATATCGTAGTGTGTATGCAAAACACCGAGTAATGGTGTGATTCTTTTGGAAATAAATCTCATCACTTCGGCTTAATCTACAATTAATTTTATTACTGAGGACAATCCCCACTTTGTAAATTTAGACAGCAAAGGCCGCCCGGACAGTCAGCCGGATGAACTGCGTTGCTGAAATGTTCCTAAAGTCAGGCGCAGCAATCCCGGGTTCAGTTGTGGTTGCATAACAACGTTCACTTACTAGTACCTTTCGCCTGTTCGCGTTGCATATGTACCACTTCTTCTGGGCTGAGATTTTAGCCGCAGGCCATTTAAGATTCAAAACTTTAACTCTGTGGAGACTTTAACCCTAACTATAAAACTTTAAAACTTAACTTCCTGCTGTGGAGACTTTAAAAAAATTAAGCTGCGTCTTAAAACAAAAACCTGTGCTTCGGTTTTCGTCTTAAAACCTTTAATTATGACTGTCCAAAACGATGGGGTTTTGAGTTCTGTTTTGCCTTATATCTTAAATCTGTCTTAAGACTAAAACCAAAGTACAGGTTTTTTTTAAACGCAACTTAGTTTTGTTAAAGTCCACAGCAGGGATATTTTGCCAATCAGTTCCCGAGATTCCTCCAAGCATCTGCTGCCCAGGATGACGCACAGAAAAGCCCTCTCGTCCACAAACTAAGGGGCACCCACAAGGCAGCGCTTCTTCTGGAATCGTCCAATTTAGCGCATTTCCCTTTCTACAGACAAGAAATTATTGTTAGCAATTCAACAATGATTAGTAAAACAATCAACAACATGTCTTTTATTACACACTGCGATCATACATTCGAAAACACATTATTTTAATTTCTTTTACGAACATGCGAATATTTCACAGAACGATCATTTGAAAATAATGAAAGTACCAATATAAAATGAAAGTACCAATACAAAATAGAAAGTACCAATTTTTAGAGATATTTTGAAAGTATCCCTACTTGTCATAAGTGTCGTCAATCGCAAGATATATCAAGAATATTTCGAAACGGTTACAATTTCGAAACGGCTACAGCGAGGAAAACTCGGGAGGGATGTTTATTTCCCACGAGAAGATAATCAACCCCCTTCGCTGTCCCATTTCCCCTACTGAGTTTTTCCAGGTCTTTTGTTTCACGTAATGCGAGTTCTCGCTCCTGAAAACACATTATCGTCCCAATGATCAGCTTTGCATAAAGCCTTTGTTACTAATTCAGCTTCAAGACTGGGATCACAAATCACTCACTTATCCAAATCATCTGGAGAGCTGAAGCTAGTCTGTGAATGTCGGTGTACACGTGTGGGGGTGTAGAGTTTGTCTATTACAAAGAGCCCTAATCCAAATAACATGCTGATGAAAAACACTCGTGAATAACATGCAAATTTCGGGGTAGTAGAAAAAATTTGCGTGCTGGACCAATATAAATTGATGAAGCGCTGGCAGAGTGATTCAGTGTGCGAATGTTCCGATAAGAAGCGGTCGGGTTTACGGATGCTTCTCGGAGACGAAGGGGGACTTATGGTTAATGGTACAGGATTTGTGGGCCGATGCGTTGTGGAGAACAAGGAGCTGGGGTATTCTCTGATTGGTGCCAGAATATTCTGGTTGGTGGTGCCAGCTGCTTCATTGCCCGGAATTATTTGTTTTTGGGGCTACAAACTCGATTGCAATTGGAGCGTAAGAGGCGAGAGCGAAGAAAATAATCCAGAAGAAAAAAAGAACAAAAGAAAAAAGCACTGGGACCACCGATGGCATAATTCGTGAATTTATCGCCAGAACTGAAAATAATCACTGTTTCTCGCCATCGTTCAACTGCTACTATAGATGTCGTGTCACTCTGCGTAAAACGAAGCGACAGTGAAAAAATACAGGAGGGAT